TGGATAGATACCGTATAGCTATTCGAATGTCGAACAAATCTGATTCAAATAACCTCAACAGCCAACTTCGATTAGTTACAGCAAAACGAGGAAAATTCTGAAAACTAAATTTTTTAAATAAAAGAAAAAAAACTGAAACAACCAACATGAAACATGAAGTTAATACCCTAAATTTTTTTTCAGCACAAACTCTGTAATCCCTTTAGCTCTGCGAAAAGTATAGATGAATTATTCTTCAATAATTTCGAATATTTTTTTTCCAGTCAACTATACGGACAACTTAAACAATTTAAACGGGGAATTTATAAGAAAGAACCTCATATATTCTTTACCGCACGTCTTTATACCTCCAGTAAAGGCATGACACAGAGTTAAATAACTACGCAAGCCAATTAATAATAAATTTAAGAAGTCTTACTTTAACATTATTTTGCTTTGTCATATTTATTTCATCTCTGTTTTCTGGCTCAACACATGCTCCAGGATTTTTTCGCTTTTCCACTTTAGACACACTGAATCTGGATGTAAGTCCATCATTTTCACAATTTCCCTGCCATATGTACTCACCAGAAATAATAGTACCAGTTAAACTTTCTTCGTCATCTGCACCGTCACCTGCAGTGCGCGGTCCCAAGTTTAGACTTTCCGAAGAAATAACTTTTCTGAGTTCGGCAACTGTTGAACCATCATCAACACAAAGTGATGCAGTACTGCTCTTCTGCAAAAAACCAAACTCAGTACATCTAAAAACTAATATTTCATTATTCATCTCAGCAGTAGTGGTGCAATTAAATGGCTCCTTCCTTTAATATTTTAATCATTACAGTTAGCGGAATGAATAATCATTTTCGATCATATTGATATATCATATGATAACGATATAGTGATTTTTAATATATGTTCATCGGAATGAATTTGGTCAGAGAAAATAACAATAAGCGATAATGGACGATAATATGATTCTGCAGTTGCATAGCACAAGTAATATTCAAATCCGGTAACTGTACAACCGACCTATAATGCCTAGACAATTTTTTTCTGAAATTTAAAAAAATGAAAACTTTACACTTTAATGAAGATGACAACATATACCTTACTAACAATTAATATTTCAGCACCACTTTCAGAATCCATACTTTTTTGGTATGAATCGGTAGAATACACAGCACCCAGAGGAAATTTTGTCACTTTATTTGTGCATAAGGAATACAAATTATTACAGGAGAGGCGCTGTGGTTGTGTGACACAGAGAGCTTCATTGTTCGACAAATTGAAGGCTTTTTGAAGAACACACCTAGAAATGGATTAAGAATGGCAATAAAAAATATACTCAAAAGGAAGGAAAAAAGGACAAAATGTTCATAAAAATATCCTTTAAAATACTCGTATTAGAATTCAATCCTATATAGCTTTGGCAGAAATAAACATTAATCTTTTGTACAGCATGAGATTTCCTTCAAATAAGCCATCTATGGAAAAAAAAAAAATGTATGAACGAATAAGCCAAGTAGAAGTGATGCATATCTTGTTCTTTTTTATATGTCACAACTAGCATCACAATCAAATTATCTATTTGTGATAAGTAAAATATCTAATTAATGAATCAAGAACAAAAGTCCATATCAATAACTCAATGTAAACGAATATTAGCGCGCTTACAAATAATTGTTAATACGCTAATAACATTAGCCCACTGGAAACTTTAATTCTTATAGAAAGCTCAAACAGCTCAAACTCTCGGAATCTTCATGCGGGATCCGAAATCGCTACTGTGTTTTGTTCACAATATTCACTGTTTACATTCCTGCATTGTTTTGATTTGACTTCCGTACTTTTCCCACTCATTTCAATTATTTTTATTCAGTCACTTAATCAAAATTTTGAAACCACTGATGATTCACCGCCTTCAAGCAAACATTTAATCACTCTCCACAGTTTGAAATCAGCAATGATTATTTACTAACCGTGCGCAAATTCCGCTTTTTGAATGATCACAATCTGATAGTCTTCGCGCACTCATTAATAAAATGCTGCTTCCTTGCTACCAGTGATAATATCAGTAGAGTGACAAACACAGCAGCGGTGATACAAGTAGCCAAACAACCGGTTTATTATCTTATCTACTACATTGTATGGCTCGTCTATATGAGTTGGAGTTCCATCAACATCCACTGTTGCATCTACAAAACATTTTCGGCACTGTTTATAACAACCAGTGAACCGAATACTACGATTAGTCGTCAGTGAGATGTACTCAAGAACTTCCCATAGATCTGTAAAGTGGTCAAAACATTTATACAAAAACATGTTCCAATTCTGATAATATCTATATTCACTCAACTCCAGCAATCAAATGAATGTTATAGCACAGCTGGATCCGATAAGATATAAATGTAAAACTTAACTACGAGTAAATTTCTCGCCAGTATTCAAATTCTGTACGGCACAAAGAAAAAGCATCCTTGCAATAAAACGAAACGAAACACAACACGGTCATTAAAATTCTTCTTATATTCTGGAAACAACCACACACTACTTGGCTTTTCATTCACCTATATCAAAAATGTAAATAGGTAAAATTTTTTTTAGGATTAAAAAAAATGAGAACTTCACATTTTAACGAAAATGACGACATACACCTTATTAACAACTAATATTTCAGCACCACTTTCAGAACACATATTTTTTTTAGCATAAATCGGTGGAATATACAGCACCCAGAGGAAATTCTGTCACATTATTTGTGCATAAGGAATACAAATTATTAGAAGAGACGTTGTACTTGTGTCCATGCATTCATTCATCCCGAATTCAACTTCTAACATTTTCATTAACCAAATCATTTTCGACATCCATCATTAATACGTTTGGTTCTGACCTAGTTGTTTTTATTTTATACAAAAATTCTTGAAAATCTGAAAATATCTGCACTTATTTATCTTACTAGACCCAGTAATTGTAAAAAATGAGGACTGCCTAACTTTAAGTCAAAAGTTCACCCATGGAAAACAACCTGGACTGAGATGAGAAATAGTTCATCACGCTTACTTCAGTCATTTAGAAGAAGCTCACGAGCAAAACCCAGCAACATAACCCAATTCAAGTAGTGCAGAAAAACGGAACAAACTGCAGACTGCAACTTCGTAACAGCCCATGAAAGGCTGCGCGGATACTTGTGAAACGTTGTGTCTGTCTGCGTAAGCCCATTCTCGTTAGGTTGGTGTCATACCTTTGTGACCATGTAACGTTGCTGCCGGACCACTTCTTCCTGTTCGCTAAAAAGGATTAGTCCATCCGAAACCTGACTATCTGTGCAATGCGGCCCATTATTTATTGGTGGAGATGAAGTCAACTCTCGAAAGTGGTTGCATATCCATGATACTGATAGCAAGGGTGGTAATAAAGACATAACGTAAGTTGGTCTCATTAATGCTGTACAAGGTAAGTAATGACACAGTGAAAGTTTAAAAAAGAAGGTACTTTTAAGCAGTAGAAATATTTTATACGGAAACGCATTGAGAAATGACGTGTAGATGGACAAACTGCGCATAATGCAGGAACACGACTACTGATATTCCAGATGTCCCACACTATAAATTTTGCTAAACAATTTTTGCATATATTGGATAAACAACAGTTCTACGAATGTGAATTGGCAGATGGCATAGATGTGAAAATGACTCTTCCAGCTGGATGCTGCTTAAGTGTCGCTCATTCCGTCATGCACAGGTATCACACAGAGCTCACTTATTTTCGTTAGCAGAATCAATTATTGCCAATGCTATTCCGATGTTTTTAGGTAGTGTTATCCACTAGTAGAATAAAATAGGAAGTCGGCTGATCTCGAAATTTTAAATTCATTTGTCTTTGATAAATCCGCAGTTCGGTGTTCAGTGACCGATACCCACAGTAATATTTACAAGTTCGATTAGTAGTGACCACTATTAGAGATAACGAAAAAGCAAAGTGGTGATATTCACTGCTTCTTGTTTGCTTTACAAGTTTCAACTTACCAGTACGGCCAATCATTCAAGCATAATTATAAGTTTTTTTTTTTTTTTTTTTTTTCACCAATACGTAACCTACGCCTATGGACTTAAAACTCTATTGAAAACTTATCAGATCAAATATGAAGTCATACATTTGGCTATCTAGAGAAAATGCAGTCTCTGGTCACCGCGTTTTTAACAGATATATCCTCCAACAGCTCATCAAATAACTTATTGTTTCGCTGGATCAAAAGAAAATATCCTATCCATTTTTCAACCTACACTTTTATAACTTAAGCGTACATTGGGTTATAATCCGTATAAAAATTATGAATGAGTTATGGAGCGTAGTTTTCAGAACATGTCATTTGCATCTTATGACTGATCAAGAACGACCAATATTTCTCAGTCACAAAAAATGTGCAAAACTGATCATGAACTATCTGCCATTGCCATCGAAGGCAAGTGTACAACTTGAAAAGTTACTAAAAATTGTAAATAAATTGGGGAAGAAAAGCATGGCGTATATATAGTACAAATTTTATTGTAGACAGGTGATGAAATTATAACGATTAATCATTTCAACAATAATCACTAATTTATATCTTCCTTTCACTGCTCAGAACTGAGTTCTCAACCACAATGTGTCTCATAAAACAGAATCGTTCTGTAATCCTAAATTTAAATCCTATTACAAGGATACATAAGCTTAAAATTAAAATTTCTCATTCAATACAAATCACTGTTGTATTGCATCGCATTCACATCAAATCATTTGCTTCAAATAAATCATGTGATAAAAGTCGTAATATTGGGAATACAGCTCAATGCAACAAGGAATTTACTTTTAACTGATTATAATCTGAAAAGTTGTTTGGGACCGAAATGTTTGCTTTAAGATCTAGAAAGAATGAGGAATAATATACTGACAATAAGACGCAACAGTATAAGTATAAATATAATTTGTAACAAAAAAGCTTAGAAAGCATAACACAAAAACAAGATATAAAATCAAAAAGCAGTTTTCATGCCCCGATAGAGAAGATATATGACACCAGATATAGCTAAAGGAATCAGAAAATTACTCCAGGTTGGACTGAATATAATATCTACCCATGACACGTCGCCTTTGGCGATGACTGGTGTGGTGGTTGAGTTTGTTTTGTCTCCTATTGCTTCTGTTGCATTCGGATCACACAAATAACCAATCAGATATTCTTTAGTCATCTCCACAGCATCTCGCGAATGACCAATGTCTTTGAAACTTTCTGTTGCATTTTGACCAGCTTGCTCCAGCAGAACTTCATCCCCGCCTGGATGCTCTTCCAAAAATTTTGTTACATCGTAGACCTGTAAAAGTAATTAGACTGAATAACTGCAGCTGACAGTTGTGCTAGTCAATCAGTAATATACCAATCGATAAAAGATGTCAGACAGTCACTGCAGTTAACCGTTTTAAAAAAATCAATCAACAGATTTGACTAGAAAAAAAAAGTTGAAATAATAAAAACAAAAGTGGAACTTCTTCCAATAATTTGATATTTGAACTAAAATTTATCAATATATATTTACATCTGATAAACCAACGTTATTATCGATGATTAGCCATGTGGACGAGGCATCATTATGCGCAGCAACTTCTGCAATTGTGTATTTCTTTAAATCTTTCTTTTCACCGGCCATCTTAGGCACTGAAGATGCTGCTTAAGAAACAAGATATAGAAACCACACCGACAATGAAAGCGACGTTTTTATACCAAAACTGAAAATTTGCAATGAAAATTAAAGGAAATACAAACTGACTATTCACATGAGATGCGTTTAGTCCTTTATATAACAATGTGCTGAATTAAGTTATACATAAATAGATAACATAAAAGTAAAATGGCGATAAATAATCCGATAAATAGCCATATGGTTGGATTAGAAGATAAGTCCTCCTTATAATCCCGTTCACTTATTAGAATATTTCTAATTTAAAAACTTATTATTTTAGGAACTTCCTGCATATATTTTAGCACGGTATTGAACACTCAAAACACCGTCGAAATATATGAATTTATAAAACTCTACCACGCCATTTCTCACTAAGTACGTAAATCGAGTCATCACAAGAAGAAACTCTTGTAAAAATCATCCGAAACATTAACTTAATTTCTTTTTTTATATTAATAACCATTATGCCAAAATACAACAATAAAGACGCCCAGCGTTTTTGTTCTGGGAATCAAAATGTTTCAGACATATGAAACAAATTAAAGATAGCAGGCCAAAATAGTTTTAGTTCAACTTTCAGAATTTGGAAAGAATAATCAGCTGATGAATTCAAAGGCATTTTCGGGTGCATTATGGAATGTCATATCAATGCTTGATAAAGCCTTTAGAGAGTAAGTCAATTCCAGTTAGGGAAAAAGGAAGACATCCGTATAGATTAACAAGTGGTATTTCCGGAAGAGTTTCTGATGCTAATGTTCAACTTCGGCACTACTTCGATGCAGTTTGGACATTCGATAAATTGAAAAATTCACGGATTTGATTTCAAGACAAAGATAAGGCACATGACAACAAGATTAATTATGGCTAATGAAATCTAATAGAAAGATATGAACCGTTTCATTCGAAAAAGTGTATATTTAAATTAGAAAAGGTATGTTAGGTAATGTGACTGCATAATAGCAAATTTACTTAGAGATTATAGTAATTGAGGAAATAATCATGTTTACTAACGCATTTTTATATACATATAACTGACAGCATAAATCTCAGGTTTCAAATTTTCCAAAATATGGTTAAAAATGCAAAACAAACTGTATAAATCACTTCTGCTTTTATTTTATTTTATCTTTTAAAAGTGACAGCCAGCATTTTATTAGTATTTTATTTAAGATCAGGAAAATTTATGCAAAACAAATAAATCCTGACAGGAAACAGAAGTGGTAGCATCTTTCGACGGGTGAGCCAAACACCTTTAAACAAATTCCTCTATGAAAGTTCAGCAAGAGAAATAATACTTAAAAATAGAACTACTGAATTAGCATAATCTTCGTTAGTTTAATTACAGTATGTTTATTTCTGGAAGACTTTGTCCTTCGAAGAGAACAGTAAAGATTTCAAAACTTAAAACAGTCTTTGAACCCAAATTTTCTTGAAATAGTTCGTCGATATACAGTCATGGTATAGTCATGAATTCTGTCACAAATAATAAGAATCATAAATGATTAAAAGACGAATATGGAATTGCAACACCATCAAAAAAAAAAAAGAAAATAAGGAAGAGCTAAGAAAGAAATGAAGCATAAAGTCCTTGAAATAGTGGTAGAGAAGTACGAGTGCAACGATATGATAAAAATTGACGTAACCGCTACAAGCAAGTAGAACACCTTGTTTGCATAAAATGATTGGCCAGTGTTAAGATTCATGTATCACTTCATGATTACTAAAAAACACTGCTACTAATAAATTTGTGATTCAACCTATTAACAGACAAACCATCCAGTCATGGCAACTTCGATGGCAGTCAATTAGCACAAAAAAGGAGCAACTTTATTCTGGAATTGTTCTTGCCTTGCACTATAGCATAACTGTAATCTCAAATTTTATCAGGCCAGTTTTCAAGAAACCCAATTAAATAATTTTACTTATACCATTTGAAGTTATAAACCACCGTCATACAACTGAAACTGGAGCACTAAAAAATCATCATAAATTTGCCTGATTTAAAAATCGGTAACACAAAATACTTTTCATTTGAGACAAACATTACAAGAAGACAATTAAGAAGATAAGTGACCTATCAGAATACAGTTAATCTCCTTCAACACTATTTAAAAAAAAAAAAATAAATAAAAAAAATCTATTTGAAGAAAAACTCATATTTTGAATTAATTCATAGAAACGATCATCAAGTTAATAACTTATATGTAAAAAAAAAACGCAACTTCAGACCTTATGGCCATATTATGACATATTATAAAACTGAATTTAAAAACCACAGTGTAGAAAACTGAATGCATCACACGCCAAAAAGAAAACATGTCAAGAGAAAACACACTGTTACTAAAACCGTTTTGAGCAAAGAAGTATGAAAATATAAAGAAATTAACGGAAAGAACTTCCAAAAAATAAATTAAATAACGAGAAATGATTTCAAGACATCTAAGACAAATAAATTGTGCTTAAAGCGTAAAAGTTTTAAACATAATTTATTCGTATTTGTATTTAAAGCTGTACAAACCAACGAATCATACCCACTGTGTAATATAACTGAGCAGAAATACATGCAAGAAGAAATCATTGGTATTTTGCAGTAAACTAAACATATCCGAGCGATACCTGCAAAAGAATATAACCATAAATATAGCGACCGATCTGAAAACGTTCAGTATCCAGTTTGATTGAAAATTTTCACAACCATAATTCCCTTTCATTTTATTCCATTTTTTAACCTATATTATCGTTAGGACAACTTACCATTGCGGTATATGTAGAAAAATATCAATAGATACTATCCGAAAACATGTTAACATATTTAAGTCAAAATGTGCAAGAAATGTCCTTCAATCTATAGCCAGAAAAATGAAGGAAGAATAATTTACACGCAGGAAGCAAGTAAAGACACATACCATACGTCCAGTAAGTTCGAGAAAATGTTCTAATCATATTCACAATTCCTACACTTTTCTAGAATCTAGAACGGTATATGAAATTCAACTCTCGATCGTTGCTCATCAAACTTTGAGTGAAAAAACTCAAACTCCGATAAAAATGGAAAGCCATCATCCGAGTTTCACAAATTAGGAATGAGATCAAAAGGACGTAATAAAATAATAATGCGTGAACATGACCACATATTTGAAAATACATCATAAAGCTTCACTGAATGCTACACTAAAGTCTTTTCTTTAAAAATTGGTATTCACCGTAGTTGTGCTAAATTTAGATATACTTATAATTGATTGCGCGAAAGAGGTAATGTTCCTGAAGGATCATAAACTTCTCGTGAGAAGAATCAAATCCAACCTGTAGAATCAAATAGAATCAAACCTGTACAACTAATAACTAAAATTAGGGTAACAAGAAAAAGGACTGTGATTTCACACCTGAAAAATAAAAACGGATCTGGAGCTAATAGGAGATTTTTTCTTTCAAAAATTTCCTAACAGATAGCGAAAGTGTTGCGGGTAATAACCGAGTGTAATTATCAGACAAGAACAACATATCGATATAAGTTTCCTAAGTTTCTAAATATATTTTTATTAAGATATTACCATTATCACCAACCAGACTGATAACGTCGGAAAAGAGAACCACTGCATGATGCCGAGAAGTAACATTGCAAAATTCAGTCATGAATTCAGTTGAGAAAAAACCATTCCAATTGAACCAAAAAGAAAGAAAATGCAACATTTACATTTTAAAATAATTTATTACAGCACTGGGATAAAACACGCTACTTCTATGAAGTTGCAAGTTCTTGTAGGAAAGACTCACCAATTATAGAGGCAAAAATTAACGATTCAAATCGGTTATTTTCAACAAAATAAGCTACACCACTCTGACAAAATACAGAAATAGTATTCTGAAAACTTATTCCTGATATCTACTTCGACACATAAAACTCTTGTTTGGCTATCTCACCAAATGCACTTAACAAACTAATCTAACATTATCACTAAACATAAACTTTAAGAAACTTTAACAGAAGAGATATAATGCAACATTCTTCTTTTTAAAGAAGAAACTAATATTTTGAAATTACTTTTGCATTATGGTTCTAGTTTCAAACTCATAAAGAAGCAAAAAACAAAAAAACAAAAAAAAAAAAAAGAAATGAAATACCAACTACATGGTGTAAAATCCAAACAATTCAAACAAACAGCATGACGAGTAATGAACAGTTTAACATTCCCATCTATTTTATTCGTTCAGTTCGCCTAGCAAAGAATTTTTCATCAGAATTGCTTCAAAATTCAAACTTCCTGAAGTTTTATTATTCGTAACTTTTCAAGGATCAAAATTTTAAATTTCTACAGCATAAGGTCGTAAAGTCATAATGTTGCTGACATGCGGAAAAGTGAAGCAAAAAGATTGCCAATTTATAAAATAGAAAACTTTGCCTAGTTTCAGTCTAAATAACACTACAAAAAAGTTCGATGCTATCAAGATTTGCACGGAAGATTACAGACCGAATCTTGGTTTACTCGCAACGTAATTCGATGTAACTGAAATTTTGCTTTGAAAGGGTTTTAAAACTTCAGTCGAGTTCATAATAAAATTTCAGTCTTACTGTCAACGGAAGTTTTCGGTAATTTATTCAAAATAGTTAACCACAAAAAACTAAAGATCTTTGATTCTGCATGGTTAACCAAAGAGAACAAACAAGTGATAAAGTAACAAAATAATTAATGAAATGTAAGAAAATCTAGGTTACAAATCTAGTGCTATACAACTGAAACTGATTACAAAAAGCCCTCTTTAACTATTGGTTTACACTTTTAATTAATCTTTGCTAATATCTTTGCTGTAACTCCACCTAAAGATGAGTCAGTTTTAAGCTGATGTTTCACATATGTTTTTGAGTCTTCTGAAATGGTAAAAAATCATATAAAAACTGATTTCATTTCTATGGAACAACAATGCGGGTCATAATCAATTGTAAAAATCAAGTAGGCACATAAATAAGT